TAAAATGTAGCTTGACCTAACACAATGTATTGCACATTATTCAGTATGTCTTGAAACAAACCCCGTGTTCACTCCCTGTAATAAAGACAGACAGCCAGTGCATGGCCGAGGAGATAAGCTAGAAAGAGCTTTTGAAAGCTACTTAAAAACTTTCGTATCAAACAATTGGCCAGAAGTTGTGAAGTACGTAATTAATATTACACCAAAGACAACTCCATTAAAAAAATAAGGGAAAAAAAACCTCATCCGCTCACCGCTTATTATTACTTTTTACATCAACACCGTCCCCTTCATCTTCCTTTCATCTTGTCCGAGAGTAGGTCTTAGGCTACTTTCCACTTAAATGCCTTTCAATGTTCTCCTTCATTCTAGTTTTATGCCACCCAGGGCCAAAGCAACAAGCCCTGACGTGAGCCCCAGCTCCACAACCCCCCCTTCCCTATCTTTCCTCCTTAAAACCTCTATCTTCCCCTTTTTTCCTTCCTCACTATCTTCCCTGCAACAAAAATGCCGAAAAGTTTTGCCTCTTCCTTCTTGCTTTCTCTCTCTACCTCCAATTTGCTTCCCCCCACGCCACCACTGTCTTTGACGTCTCTGCCTCAATCCAACGAACTCTCTCGACGTTCTCTCCTTCGACCCAAATACCCTGAACTCAAAAGATGAAGAAAAACTAGCTCAATCTTCTTCTTCTCTGCTCAATACTCTGTTTCAGTTCATCCTCGGTCCTCTCTCCAGAAAAGCCAGCACAGGATTACGAAGATTGACTCGGTCACGACTCCAGCGTGACTCGGCCCGAGTCAAGGCCATCGGCGCGAGGCTAGAGCTTGCCTGAACGGGGTGAACAGGTCGGCGTTCCGCCGGTAGACGAGGAGAAGTTTCGGCCCGAGGGGCTCCAGTCGCCGCTGACGTCCGGGGTAAGGCTCGGCAGCGGAGAGTACTTCTCCCGCATCGGGGTTGGCGGCCGGCGAAGCCTTACTATATGGTAATTGACACTGGTAGTGACATCACTGGCTCCAGTGCGAGCCCTGCTCTGACTGCTACCAGCAAAGCGACCCGGTTTTTCTCCCGTCACAGTCCTCCACCTACCGGTCCCTCTCCTGCAAATCGCCTCAGTGCAGTGCCCTGCAGATCTCGGCTTGCCGGGTTGATTCGTGCCTCTACCAGGTATCTTACGGAGATGGGTCATTCACCGTCGGCGAGTCGCTACCGAGACGCTGTCGTTTGGGAACTCAGGGACAGCAAACGGCGTCGCTTTAGGGTGTGGCCACACAATGAGGACTCTTCGCGGCAGCAGCGGGTCTCCTCGGGCTCGGCGGTGGTTCTCTCTCACTGCCGTCTCAGATCAAGCGAGTTCGTTCTCGTACTGTTTGGTGGATCGTGACTCGTCCTCGTCGTCGACTCTCGAGTTCAACTCGCCTCGACCCAGTGATTCTATCACCGCTCCGTTGCTCCGGACAACCGTGTGCGGACCTACTTGTACGTAGGGATCACCGGAATCAGCGTCGGCGGCCGTCCGCTGAACATCCCGGAATCGGTGTTCGCCGTTGACGCTAGCGGCCGAGGAGGCATCATCGTCGACTCGGGAACTGCCGTCACTCGGTTGAAGACCGAGGCGTACAACTCGCTGCGCGACACCTTCGCGAGTCTGACGCGGAACCTGCCCTCGTCGAGCGGCTTCGCGATCTTCGACAAGTGCTACGATCTCTCGTCGATGCAGAAAATCGCCGTCCCAACAGTGTCGTTTCGATTCGCCGGCGGAGGTACACTCCGTCTGCGGCCAGAGAATTACCTCATACCGGTGGATTCGAGCGGGAAGTTCTGCCTGGCATTCGCGCCGACGGATGGGCAACTGTCTATCGTCGGCAACATCCAGCAGCAGGGACACGTGTCAGTTACGATCTAGCTCACTCTCTTGTGGGATTCAGTCCCAATAAATGTTAAAAACAGTAGAAAAAGGAAAGTGGGTATGAATTTACTCTTTTGTCCTTTTGGGTAGATTTATATTTTCGATAGTTAGAGGACAGGTGGGGATATTTAATTGTAGAGTTAAGGGGAAGTGGGAGCGCAGGACGGCCCTAAAAAGAGTTGGTGAGACTGAGGAAAGTGGGCCCTACATAAAATAAGTTAGGATGTGCTCTTTTTTTTTTTTTCTTTGGCCCCCCCACTCTCTTTTTCAGAAGTAGTTACGGTCTTAATCGCCATGGCATTTCTAGTAAATTAATCTCATTTAAGGGGTAATTTAGATGGTGCAGTGGTAAGCCTTGTATTGTACAATCATTGGGTTATGATTAAATGAGATGTATAAAAAATAATAATAGTAATAATTTTGTGGATTATTTGTAAATATTTATTAATCAGATTACATAAAATAAAATATATAACCTTTAGGTAAAAAAAATTGTAATTTTGAATAACAAATTATTGTCAATCATGACTTTTTTTTTTTACCTTTATCACATATATTCTTATATTTTTTATGATCTAAAATTAATGTTAAGTAAAATTCATAGTTATCTATACTTAAATATATATTTTTATGAAATCAAACTCAATTTATTTTTATATTTTACTATACTTGTCAACACTAATTGAGTTGCCGTCACGGTCTTTGCTATTAATAAAGTGAATAGTTTTAAAAAATAAAGGTGGGTTGGGGGCAGGGGGGTTGAGGGGACACTGGGAAAGAAATAATAAAATAATAGATAAGAATAAATTACATATTTAATCATGCCTTTTTTTTTTTGTTACATATTTAATCATGCCTTTCATGTCCCCTTGTTTGCGTCTGCATGTTGATTCCTTAGTCATTGTCAAGTGGAAATTGTTTAAATCTACAACCTCATCATCTTCCACACATTTCCTTTTCACGTTAGATAATATAAATTTTTTTACATAAGCAAACAAAGCTGAATCAATTATTTTGTTTTCATGTTAAACACAAAAAAATTATTTATTTATTTTTTTAAAGAACTAAAAATTCTCTAATTTCAGTCGTTAGCTAAGGGATCTTCGTGGCACACATGCAGATGCGTGAATGACAAAAATAGCGGGACTGCAGAGAAGGATGTTTTGTTTTTATTGTGCCAAATTTTTTTGCATGGACATGTGGTGGGAACGTATGCTTACGTAATAGATTGGATTTAGATCAGGTTAGATTTTGCTTTAGATGGTCGGCCATCACGGGAAGCAAGGTGGGCTGGTGCCGGGACCCCTCGTTCCGGGGTGGTTTTTGGAATGACATGTCACACTTCACGTGAATATGAATTAACGTATTATTATTTTTTAATTGATATATAAAAGTTTATTCTTTATGATTATTAAAAAATAAAAAAATCGAATTTAAATCTCATTAATATTTTATTATTATATTTACGCAATCAATTTGTAAAGATTTAATCCCTACTTGTAAGAGTTAATTTTTAGAAATTTCAATTTTTTGTTGAAAAGTGACTTTAATCTATTAAAATTTCTTGCTCATGAACTACTAAATTTTTTCATCCTAAATTTCAACTAAAAATATCCAGAGCTAAAAATATTCACACCTCTACTTATAACTAATGACATTAATTATAAATAATTTGAATTCTTGCTAAGAATGCTAAAAGTACTTATCGAAAAAAGCTCCTTTTTGTGATAATTTTTTGTTTTATATAACAGTTGAAGCCACAAAATGCAGATTCTGTGGCCTTGGCGTGAAACCTAACCCGTATTACTTTTCACGATCTTCCTTGTGTCGTGAATCCCTGAGGAATATGAATAATAATAGAGAGAGAAATACAACGAATAGACAACAAAAATTGCATACGTTATAGTGCGCATTTTGTGGTTTTTTTTCTTTAACATTAATCACTAAATGCTTCTTTGATAATGTTCATATTAATTGGAAATCTATAAATTGAGAATAAAAATAGATGAAAACATTATTAAACACAATCCAAGAGGAGACGAATATACCAAGTACATAAATCAGTATTATTTATGTTGTCTTAAAACAAAGCTCACGTTTGAAAAAATGTCTACCACAAAACAATAAAACAAGCATAAAGCGTGCAAATTCTATTCAGCATTACGAATTCTCACTACTTCCAGGAGATGATCGCCCGTGAAAATAAACCTTCTGCCCCTCAACAACAAAAGCAAAGACTTTGCAGGTGGCAAAAGTGTAATCATGAGTCATTCTGATAAGCTAAAAGGAATAATCTAAGAAGCATGAACTGGAAGAACTAATTTAGCCAAGTTGTTCTAACTTTTTGCTGCTATTAACAAAGGTCGCGCTCTTATCAAAGCCTTCGAGCAAAAGAATACGCACAGCTTCTATTCCATTCTGGAATGTGAAATTCAACTGGAAAGGGAGGACCAAGATCAGCATCCAAGAATTTATTGATGTTCTATGCTCTGTTTGGATCTTGGAAAATGAAATTTGTTTGTTTTCAAGACTTTTACAAAACCAATTACAAAAACAATTTTAAGTTTTCAACATTAATTGGTCTGTAATCATATCATTATTCTTAGTCAACCAAAAATCAACAAAGAGTTCTGGTTTTCTACTACATTTTCACATGGGGAAATTTTCATTTCCTTTTCTTTTGACTTACAAGGAAAAAAGATTTTTGAGAAATAGCATCTGTGGCATTTTCTTGAGGATTCATATGCACATATTTTACATACCTCTTCTTGCTCTTGTTTGTTAAAAGGTCTAAGGACAAAGTTGACAGGATCCATTTTCCCAGGAGGCCTCCCAACACCTACAAGGGACATAACTTTCAGAATATTGGTGACACAAAATATATAGTGGAGCAATGGTTTTTATAAACGTAAACAGTTGCGACTTGGAAGATACCTATTCTCAAACGAGGAAAATCACGGCTCCCTTTGAAGTGATCAATGATGTTCCTCATGCTGCAAGAAAGACCATATATCAACCTTACAAGATAACTATATTCAAATTAGGAAGTCTTTATAAACCTTCCATAATTGCATTATTATCTAATAGTTTTCCAGAGGGCAAAACCTATTTACCAGGCAACTGATTTAAATACCTAAGGGGGGAAAAATTGAACAACTAAATGTTACCCCAGGATCTTCTAATAACAGAAAACCCATTTTTTTTATTGCTTTACCAATCTTTGAGATTCTAAACTTATCTAGAAGCCAACAAAATGCAGAACTTAAATCACCCAAGAAAATCTCAAAGTTGATAGAGTCCTTATGTCCTTTAGAGTTTAGACACATTCATAGCTTCCCATTTGTTCACAAACAACAGAATTACAGAAAAATTTGCCCCTTGCCCCTTCTATAAAGTTCTCACAGTTCATAATAATTGAATTAAAAGTCCAGGCATATTCATTTTTTTTTTTTTTTTTTAACCACAAGTGTTCCATTATTTTCCAGACATAATAATGATACTGTAACTCAATGCTGGGCCGAGTGACAACAAATTAATATCCGATAGAAGAAAACAAACAGATCTTTGGTAATCAAGCTAAAAGTAATTCATTATGTTGGGTAATTCAAGCCATATGTTGAGTATTCTTCACTCATGTTACGTAACTGACTTCAAAGTGCAAATCCAGATTGTCATCCTATGCTCAACATGTGTAATGACAGTTAAATGCTTAATAGGGTGACAGGATCAGTACCCGTTGTGTCCTCCGTGTCCACCTTTTGGCAACAATCGTAGTTTGGCAAATGGCAGATCTAAGTCATCAAAAATCTGGAAACAAGAGAATCATGAGTTTGGAGCTCAGATAAAGATTCTTCTCAACCCACAAAGAACAGTGAAAATACAGTACCACAAGTACTTGCTTGAGTGGAATCTTATAATATGAGACAATTGCTCCAACCTTCACAACAACTCCAAAAGTCAGCCAAAACTAATTAAATGCTTTATGAAGTAGGTAAAAATAAATGTTTCAGAAAAGCTTACTCACAGACTCACCACTTGCATTCATGAAAGTTTGTGGTTTTGCAAGCATGACAGGGACATTTCCAATGAAACCTACAAACAGATAAACCTCTTGTGTAAAGATAAAAAGCTGGTGGGTAGAAGCAGGTTCATTCAGTTACCTCTCCAATCAAGTCACACCATCATTAACTAGTTTACAAAAACCCAATGCTCAAAGAGCAATACATTTCATACAGGTTTATTAGTCGTACTGCCCCTCTTTCTGTTATTTTTCTGTCTTATAAGTCAAAATACAAACAACTAAAGAGTCACAACTACCAAAAGGCTTAAGTTGTTAAGAACTGAAGACAACAATGTCTCATATATATTCAATGAACTCTATTCCTAACAAATTTTTGCCAACAGAACAAGTTCTGCAATCATCTTCAGCTGTTCAACATTCTGATACAGGTGGAGAGCTATAAACTCTATAACCTGCAGTCCTCAAAAGAGAGAATCATATAATACGGAACGCTCCTCATGAATTTCAAGAAAAATAATAGTAAGAAGTTTCAGGTATGATTAGCTAAAATTTCCTTGAAAAGGAAAACAGCTGCAGAATGAGGAAATTCCTCTTATTTGAATGACAAGGAGTTATGAAATAGTTGGGCAAGCACCAAATAGTAAAAATTCTAGGATGAACAGGAGCATTCTGAAAAATGTTATTCATCAGTCATCACACTGACCATTCTGTATAGAACTATTTGAAAATTTGAACTTAAACATGTAAATAATCATCACAACAAAGGCTCCATTGGCAACTGCATTCACACCAAGCTTTCTTAACTTTGGTTTCTAGTTGCAGATAAAAGAATTAATTTCAAAAGAAATAAAAACTAACCATGCAATCTGTTTCCCCCAGGGAAAAAAAAAAAAAAAAAAGAAAAAGAAGCCAAATGACTAAAAAGCTATTGCCAAACAGAGCCCAATTTCTCACTCTCCCTCTTTGCCTCTGTCCTCACTAATAAAGAAAGACAAACACAAGCTAAGAGGTAAGCACACCTTTCCAAACAGCGCCTTGAAAGAAACACTGCTCAAAGATATCCCTTCAGCTTCAGCTATAGCATCTACCATCTCAAAACCCACCTAAAAAGAATTCAATTACACTACAGTGTCAGGAAGAGAATGGAACAAATATGAAAGATGCTGTAATCCTGTAACTTATACTTATGATCACAAACAGAATTCTTAACAAGTATAGAACAACTCCAGCAAAGACATTAAATTAGTAAACCACTGTGTGTTGATTCAATACTTGTTTGATGAGATAATAACAGCATTCACTTCCATAGCTACCAAGGGAACATAGTTAATTAATGATTTGTCTAGTCAAAAATAGCAGAAAACAATAATGGTAAGGATAACAAAACAGAAGATGAAAATTTTGTGCCACAGGTTACAACTTTTTGGTCTCCATGATTTCAATTTCAGATCAAACGGTAAAGTTATAATTTCAATCTACATGCCTAAAGAAATGTTTAATACAGTAAAAATTGTAGAAGTTCATGGATATTAAACATAAGAAATTCACCATTTCACTCAGCTCTCAACAAGTGACCCCCAATTATTGCTAACAGCATAAAAGAACAACAGAAAATAAACAATGCAGTGAAAGGGAGACCATTCACGTGGAAGCAAATTTCATAGTTGGTGTTAGTGGATCTGAACATCATTATGGGTCTCAACCAAGCTCCTTAAAACAAGCTGTAATTACTGAAACAGAAAACAGAATAAGAGAATAAGAAAAAACATAATTTGGTTAGCAGTTTCTAATTGTTGCCACAACCTTGAAACTCCTTTTCTGTTTGATTCCACAGGTTCAATAATATTTGCTTACAATTCTTAGTTCACAACACCCCAATATGTCACATTTACTTATCCTAAGCTATTTATTTCCCATTTCTGACTTCCTTGCATCTCTGTGCTTCGCTATGGTACACAACTAGCTTCAGAAATAAATTATTCAGGCAGTCCTTGAGTGGATGTTTGCATCAACAGGATGGGTTGAATGTAACAATTAATTTGTAATTTGTATGACGACGTCCAATATGTCTTCAACACATTGTGGGGCCACTTCATCAATCAGAGAGAAGAGAGAGAGAGAGAGAGCTGGAAGGGGGAGGAATAATACAGGAGCCAAGGAAGACATCTTGGTGCTTCTCAAATCAAAAGAGATCACAAATTTAAGGGCAACCACCCATATTTTTGGTCATTGTTCCTTCTTTCAGTTTCTTCAAGCAGTGCCTAATCACATCCACTGCTACATAATGGGGTGAGAAATGACCTAAGATGTTTTTTTCACAAGATTTAACTCCCAATCAACATTACAACATACAACCACAAATCTTCTCTACTAATTTGCTTCTTATAATTTCCGCATCATAATCCATAAATTTCTCACTTTTCCTCCTCACAGAAAACTAGAATCATTCAACAAAAAGCACTACCATTGGCAGGACACGAAAAGGAAAAAATAAAATATTGGGCATTGAAAGGGGGAGAGAGAGAGGTACGTTGTGGCGGGTGCCGTCGTACCGCTTGCCTGGGTTGCCTAGCCCGACGATGAGCCAGGGCTGCGGCTTGGGCTTCGGCGCCACCACCACCGCCCTCTCCGAAGGCGATGCTGCAGTGGTGGCGGAGGAAGACAAGCCCTCGGGCATGGCCTTCGGGGCCTTCTTGCAGCTCGCGGAAATTAGGGTTTTGGACAAGGAGGAGAAGCGGAAGAAATGCCTTAGGGGAAAGCGGAGAATCCCTGCAGAGAATAGCGACAATGAAGAAACAGAAACTACAATAGCACTCATGGTTTGGATTTTGTAACTATATAGTACAGAGGATTGGAAGGTTCCTATCATATCATAGTTAAATCCTGCGGCTTGCAGGTTTCCTTTGATTGTCGTTCAAAGGGAGAGAGGGAGTGGGAGAGAGGAGAAAGGTGAAAAAAAAAAAAAAAGAAAAGAACAATATTAAATTCGCCGTTGCCGGGATCGAACCCGGGTCGCCCGCGTGACAGGCGGGAATACTCACCACTATACTACAACGACCGAGTTGAGATCATGTGCATAGCTTAATTAATAATATATTATAATATTACATTGTTCAAATAAAATAAGAAGAGAGAGCATGTCTATCAACAATAAAACAGAGAGCAGAGCACAAGTTCTCGGCGAACATGTCTTGAAGCTAAAGAATAAGGCCTAAACGTAGTCGATTTCATACAAGGTTCAGCCCCGAATTAGCTAGAGAAAATTTGCTTGAAATGTCAAGAAACTAATCACCTTGATCACTGAAGTAGCAGAGGAGGATATTAATTTGAGATTATAGCTGTCAGCAATTGAAGTTACTCAATTAGACTTTATATGGAACAGATATTGGAATTAATTTAAATGGAAATTACAAAACCAAAATAAAGAACAAGCAACTTCCCGCAGAAAGAGAATCCAGCATGTGTGCCATCGCCGCATAGCCAGCAGGAGTTACAGGATAAATCTCGGAATCCAGATATCAGATTGGAAGTAATGATAATTATAAAAGACTCAATCTGTTTATATAATGGGATATTAGATGCATTGGCAGATTTAAGATCTTAGCGAGGAAAAGAACAACAAACAGAAAATGGTCAACAGCAAAACCCAGATTCTTCCATTTTCACTGAATGGAGTTCCATGACATTCTCATCAGTAAAATATAGGAGAGCAATAAACTAATCGCATGCCAATAATTCTCCCCAAGGATGAAGTGGAAGGCAGCCAAATCAACAGCCTGAAAGACATCTTCCAGGCCCCTGTTTCCACAGTTTCTGCGCTATGTATGAGAGAGAATTGCACGAGGTATGTCTATTTGCGGGTTCAAAGTTTTCCATTACTTGAACATAAATCATTCAGCGAAAAGAAATCCTTACATCACAGCGGCCAAGGGATCACCCCATGCGGCATCAAATCCTGCTGATATTATGGTGAAGTCAGGAGCAAACTTGGAAGCTGCAATAAAAAAAGGTTCAATCAAATGCAATGGCTAGAGTGTAGAGCAGTGAAATAACAAATTAAAAGCTCAAATTATGTCATAGTTTTGCCCAGTATCAAGCCATACCAAACACCTTGTACATTTCTTCATAACCCAAATGGCAGTACATATGGACAAGTAAACAAATTGAGTCATAAGACTTAAAAAGTCATCTAAGACTCCAATTTTTTATCTTACATCAAGAACATTCACCACACTCATTTTGTACATTAACAGAGTGCCAGTGGAAGTAAACTGACACCTACAATAAACAATGATCATTGTTATTGAAACTTGAGTTTTGTTGGCACATTGTATGCAAATCCCAATCAGAATTAAACTTTTCCAAATCCTCCCCTGCATTGTGATGTGCAATATGCAAGTTACTAGATTTGGAATGGGTTTATATTTTTTCTCAACCTATCATATTTTGGAAATGTTGTGAATAATCCAATAACTAATAAAACCCCTGAAGAGCCTTTATTGGTAGAAACAGATGCTGTTTCCTACGACATTAAATAATAAATATAGGTTTATTACAAAACCTAAAAATGTAAATTCTGTAGTCCATGTCAAGGCAGCAGAGGTAAGTGGATATGAGGATATACACTGATGGCACAGCACAGAAAAAATTCCAGACATCGAGGGTTTCAAAATATAGCCATATTGGGAGCACGACGTGCTTAAATGCAAAAATATAGCCATCATCACCAACACCTCCACGACTTCTTGGAATGTTTACACAGTGCCCTTCTGCACTCCATGGGACGAACCTACACAGAGAGGTGGAAGGTTATTTTGAAAGATGTATATAGCGGCAGAGAAACTAGAAAATATACAAAGTTATCAAAGTAGGACATGTTATTGACCAGAAACCAAGAAAAGGAAACAAATAATGGAAGAAAAGGGAAAAAGGAAGGGAAGAGATTAAGACACAGAGTACAAAGCAGGAATCGATCCTAGCAGATTTGAAAAATAAAAGTGACAAAAACAAACAAAAAGACAGACAAGAAAAGTGATTTGAGAGCGAGTAAAATGTGAATATTCCATTGGAATCAATTATCTCTGATAACAATTTGAAAAAAAAAAAAAGAAAGGAACTAGCATCTAACGTACACCAACAGTATATAAGTGAAACGGACTTGAGCCCCCCCACCCTCCACAAACAAAGTGGAAATAAATATGCACAAGTCCAAGAATTTAGCACAATGAACTTCAAAAGATTAAAAGCTTAGGGCAAAACAAGTTGCCACTTTTTGTTAATTTACGTGACAGAAATACCAAGAGATGCAAGCTATTAAAGCAAAAGAGAAGCCAAGATAGAAACTATAAACACAAATAACAAAGTAGAGTTCATAATGGTAAATGCACTCCACAAGTTATATAACTGCCCCTTTGTCAATACCCAAAAACTCGAGCTATACCCGAAGGTTTGAAGTCCTTGTTGGGAACAACTCACTAGAGAGCTTTGAACTAATCTTTTTAAAGTAAAGCTTACTAATGAAGTAGAGCAAAACAAAAAGATCTCTTAAGAAAAATGACATCCCTCAAATGTCTCTATAGACATCCAAAATAAGAAAGTCTGAAGATGGCTAGCAATCAATAAAGAACAAGGATTTTGACCTATTCCATCACAAAGGATCATATCCGTCGAGGTTAAAAAGAAATATCATATGGCGCAGTACCAACTGATCAATCTCCTACTACTAGCAGAAAGCCACCAACCATCCCCTTCCCCACAAGTGCCACCAAAGGTTTATCCTCTCAATTCCTCATTATTTTTCTGATTTTAATGAAAAAATATTTCATCCATGCAAAATAATGTTCAGAGTTTCTTTCCATCCAGTATAGAAACATCTAAAGCACTCCGATTGACCATCATACTTGCATATTTAAGACAAGACCTTTATCCATAAAATTCCAATTGACTCACGAACGTATGTAGTTATAAATTTTAAGACGAGACCTTTATCCAAAAGAATTAGTTTACCTAGATTCTTTCCTTTCTCGTTTGCATAAAATAGCTTGATGAGATATTTCAAAGCTCCTAGTCTCAAAACCACCCTTCCAAATAGAGAAGCACAGCCCCTTTTTTTTTGTCTTTGAAGTCAACAGTGTCCTAATCCTCCAAACATTACATGAACGCCTTAATTTATTAGAAACCTCATTGTATTCTTTCATGCTTTTTGTCTATCAGTAGGAAATAGGGCATAAAATACGCAGGACGTTCAACAGGTTGTTTTTAGTCATGGTAAATCTTCCCCAGTTAAAAAGTATGCCTTCTGTACGCTAATCTCTTTGGAATGTCTCATCACCAAGCACCTTATATGTTGGCCCCAAAAGAAAACACTCTTGGATGGACGCTGAGGTCCCGTTTCTACATCCAAGCCAATAATTAAAGTCACATCCACCGAATGTAGAGCCAACCCCAACTCAAAATTCGCCTTTAAAACCAGGGTCACTCCAAATCAGAGCAAATAAACATGCATCAAAATATCCCAACCGCAGCAACTTGATCTGTGTCAAAACTCTGCTCTACTCAAATTAAGTCTTCTTCCAGAGAAATGGAGCCAGCAAAACCATTTCCAAATAAAAACAAAAATAAAAAATCCGTGTCACGTTGGCCAAAGGTCCTACTTGAGGTTTCCACAGAGTAGAAAAAGAAAAGAGAGAATAAAAAGGAGGGGAAAATGGAGGCAAAGCACAGGAGAAGAATAGCTAGATAAACGTAAAGCAAAAGCAATAAGCAAACTATCAAAATGCAGAAGCAAACCCGACACTTCATTCTGCTTACCCCCACACCAAAAATTAATCATAATAAAATAAATGCAATAAAACAATATTATTATCAGTCATATTTGCAGCATCAAGTACTTGTTTTCGACCCATAAATCTCCTTCATATTGCAGCACAAGTTTTGCCAGCGCCTCCTTCAAGCAAACAGACAACACCTCACTGAAAATTAAAAACATTTCACCATACTTGCTAATAGCACTGAAGTGTTTGATATCTGCTATTTTTTCTTTCAATAAACCAATATGGCAAATGATCCATTCAAATTCATATTAAATTATCTATTATCATGAGAGTATTTCGCTGTTCCCATTACTTCCCTTACTCCACAACAAGTTAGTAGCAACCCAAAAAAGCCTAAACATGGAGCATCCCAAAATCATACTGTACAGAGCTAGAAAGGTGGCTGCTTATAAAGAAGAATTTTGAAATTAAACTCTGTATCAAATCTAACAAACGATAGCTGTGATCAGCTAATAGTAAATGTGTTACATATTGGATATATTCCATAGAAGATCCTATACATAAATTCTCGGTTAGAAATTCTACAATAAGAAAATCAATTGGTTTCACAAATCCACCCCAAAAGCTTAAAACAAACTTCGCTAGCACATCTTAAAGTTAGCCCAATAAGCGTAAGTAATTACTATAGAGCTAACCAATTTGCTGGCCTCAAAGATTTCTTGTGTGCCATTCCCATGATGGACATCCTGCATGAGACATAAAGAGTTATATTTAGCATGTCCAAACAATGCACCTGCATTTTTGCAGATTTCCAAAGATTGCTATCACAAATGGAAAGAAGCCATTACGGAATATGCAAGACACAAGATCTCTATATAACATAAAGCGTACATAAAGGAATTCATCAAGATGTCACTGATTATTCGCAACAAAAGCCATACCAAACCCGCCATCCTCAAGATTCTCCTTTGTTAACAAATAAATATTTTCTACATTCGTTTACAAGGCTACTTAACTAGTAGAGAGAGAGAGAGAGAGAGAGAGA